AGATCTTTTGTAGATGTTCTTAGTAATCAAGAAGTTACTCGATCAGCACTTTGACGACGAATAGGATCTTAACTCTTTTTTTTTGTTTCTTCATACGGTGTAGTCTAATCATGCCAAAAGCATCCAAGATCTACCGAAGTGATTGCAAAAGAGCCAAGCAATTAAAGATTAAAGACACGTATTATTTCTAAAATTAGGTCTCAAAATATCCACTGAACATCTCACGAGCCCAAAGTATTATATACACTAAAAAGGCCTTTTCTTGTTCACGTCTTCCAATAGTAAATCAACCCAAGAAAGTAGCCCAATTCATAAAATTGACTTTGGTTTGGTAACAATAATGTCAACTCTTGTTTGATTGAGCCCCATTTTTTGAAAAAAAAAAAAAAAAAAAGACAGAAAGAAAAAATTGTACATTTTACAAGAGTACTTTGACATTATTTCAATTATACATTCTTCAATAAAATGATATTACACACAAATCTAAATTTTTTCCTTATTTTTAACCACATTTTTTATTAATATGTTATTTAAAAATATATTTTTTCCTCCAAAATGGAAATCAAACAAGGTTTAAGAAAGTTTTTTAAGCACCATGGTGGGGAGCCCTCTTGAATAATATAATTGTGGGCCCCTCATCGGGGGTGCCGGGAGGGAGGCGGGGGGCGGGGGGGCAGTAAGGCTAAGAGCTGTACACCAAGCAATTTTTTAAGCATGCCTCATCTTTCAGTATTTGGTCTATAGCTTGAGTGGTACACTGGAAAACTGGCATGGAAATTTCCTGTGCGTTAAAGATGAAGTAACTGACCAAGAAAATGACATTTATCTTTCTCTCTCTAAACCAGTGCAGAGAGAGAGAGAGAGAGAGTTGAAAAAATTGTGAATTCTTTTCCCGGCGGTATGCAATTGAAATCCATCAACACTATTACAATTATATTCATGTTTGTATTTGCAATTTTAATCCTTTTCTTCTCTCTTGAATTCCCATCTGCCAATTCTTCAATCCCATCGCCCAATGACTCAATTTCATTGACTCTTTCAAAATCCACCCCACCAGAACCCTTCAAAGATTTATTTCTTGCATTCAAGAAGTGGGATTCTCAGGTGGGCTGTGCCCAATTCAGACAAAAACACGAAGACTTTTTGAAAAATGGGTCAAAGATCTCGACTTTACATAATGCTGATGGTGAAATTGATTGCAATGAATTGAAGATGAACCATGTGAATGTTTTGGTTAAAGGGTGGACTTGGATTCCTGATAATATGGATAATCTGTATAGTTGTAGATGTGGGTTAAGCTGTTTGTGGACTAAATCTTCAGTTCTTTCTGATAAACCTGATGCCTTGTTGTTTGAAACAACATCTCCTCCAGTTCAGGTATTTTCTTAATTTATATCTCAATTTATTTATTAAGAAATTTGAATTTTGTGGTATGTTACCTTGTATATGGTTGCAGAATAGGCCCTATATATGGATGTATCCTATGATTATGTTGATTTATTATTTGCTATAGGGATGGAAGAAACATTATTTAGTTTCAAATTAGAGACTAATATATATTTTGACTGCAAGAACCTAAATGACATTGTCCTCTGCTAGATTACTCTTCGAAATATTTTTGGAGTTTCTTCTCAAGCCTAATTACTTGGAAAATATCACCAATGGCTTACAGCTTATTCTGTCGTGTAAATGAGAGAGAACCCAAGTGAGTGAAAAAAAAAATCATTGTATCTATGGATTAGGATGTTATAGTCTCATTTGTCGACGGATCTATATTTTCTTGTGCTTGGAACATCGGAATTCTTGAAATATTAAGCCCATAGATATTTTAAACCGGGAGAGGTAAGCTCTGTGCACTGTTTCATTTACGTAATCAGATGCGATTTTTGATTGTTTCTTTATTGTCAACTTCAAATTACATTGGACAAAAAGCTGGTAATGGAGGCATGAAAAAGTCGAAATGTATATGCAATTCAATGCTGTTTATCTTTTGACTACCATTGGAGATTATGGGGACGTTTGGGAGTGATTTTTCAACCCAAAAAATTGATTTTTTGACCGTTATTTCACTATTCCAGCGTAAAGTTTTACTTCTTCAAAAAAAAAAAAAAAAAAAAAAAAAAAAAAAAAAAAAAAAAAAAATTTAAAAAAAAAAATTTTTTTTTTTTTAAAACCCCCCCCCCCCCCCCCCCCACTTTTCTCCTAACAGTTATAAAATCAATTTTCAAAATCGTTCCCAAACGGGGCCTATATGTACAAGTTGGTACTTGTTCATGTCAGTTGCTCATATACTTCCTGTGGAATTGGGAAAATAGCACAGTTGATGCAACTGCCAGATATGGCCATGCAATTGTTCCTCGAAAGCTCTCTAAATTCACTGTAAAATAAATAAGTCATGTAATCAGGCCATATTTTTCGATTTCCTTTCTTTTTAATGATAAGAAATCTGATATACTGCTGTTTAAATAAATTCATTGTGATTCAGTTGTTGTTAATGCACACTTCTTGTCTGTAAGCAGACATTATGTGTATTTTAATGCCAGAAGTAAGATTTTTTATTCCTAAATCCACCTTGTATATGCATTATAAAAATGTTGAGTGGTAAGGCAAATGCTGAATAATACAATAAAAGTGTTTCACTCACTGCAAGTTCTAGTTTATTGAATATTTTTGTATTACAAACCTATCTGGATACTTGGTGTATTCTACCTGTTGCATTCGTTCTAGCCAAATTAAGTAACAGAGTTTTACAGCCCTTTGCTATACCATTACATGCAATCAATTTCCCATATAACTTTGTTCACAGTTGGTAACATTGTTTGGCAGAGGCAAGCCGGAGATCCACTTCGTGTATATATGAATCTTGAACCTGGCAGGAAGAGGTCAGGCCGTGAGGACATTTTTATTAGTTATCATGCCAAAGACGACGTGCAGTCTACATATGCTGGGGCACTCTTTCATAACAACCGAAATTATCATTTATCATCTGTCAAGAACAATGTAAGTGCTTTTTATGATTATATTTCTTTTCCGTTGTTTAGTTAGTCAATACAGTGAAATTGTATGACATTGGGGAAAATTGCACCACTGGCCCCTAACTTATTGTCTGATTAGCAAGTTGGTCTTGAACATTGATTATAGTTTCACAAACCTCCAAATCTTAGTTAAATTGACACGCATTACTCATATCCCACTTTATGAAGCCAGGTTTAGTTTTCCAACTTGGGTCGTTGAAGTCGGCCATGTTTCCATGAGGGATGACTATTTAGATGAGTTTTGTGGATGGTTTCCAGTGTAGGGCACTAATTATGCAACTGTAATAAAAGGTTAACAAACTTTTTTCCTTTCAAAGGTTGGTCACCAACTTGCTACTCAGGCAAGAGTGCGTATTTCCATCAACCTATTGTGTGTAAATAATGAAACTAATTAAAATTCCATTGTTTTAGGATACTCTTGTTTATTGGTCCTCATCGCGCTGTCTTCCTCAAAGAAACCAACTTGCGAAAAGCCTTCTCAGCTTGCTGCCCCACCACTCATTTGGAAAGTGCTTGAACAATGTTGGAGGCCTCGACCAGGCACCCTCCTTCTATCCGGAGTGTATGAAGGATGCTAACGAAGCTCCTAAATGGTGGGATCATTTACATTGTGCCATGTCCCACTATAAGTTCGTCCTTGCAATTGAAAACACAATGACAGATAGTTATGTGACGGAGAAACTATTTTATGCACTGGATTCTGGATCAATTCCCATATATTTTGGAGCCCCGAATGTCTGGGACTTCATACCTCCTCATTCCATTATAGATGGGAAGCAATTCAGTTCTATGGAGGAATTGGCTATTTATGTCAAGGCTCTAGCTAATGATCCAGTGGCTTATGCAGAATATCATGCATGGAGGAGATGTGGTGTGTTGGGTAATTATACAAGGACCAGAGCAGCTAGCTTGGACACTTTACCGTGCAGACTATGCGAGGCTGTGAGTAGAAAAAATGGGAGAAATACAAAAGCGCTGTGAGGCGGCTTTGCAGCAAGGATCGTGTCAATTAGTTCATACACACCCCTATCGTCCGTCATAGAAAGACTTGGAGACTGACAAAATCAATCATATAGATAATATGCTTCTAACCTTGTACCTTCAGCTGAATTTGTATCATCTTTTTATCTCGGCTGGTTGTATCAGAGTAAAGTTGGTGGATTAAATGAAAATTAGAAATAAGAGTTCGTTCATTCCTCAAACTGACGGTCAAGAATTTTAGTAAGGTTCTTTTTTATTTTGGCAGTCTCTATTAAAAAACACACTTCCTGTATGTAATACTAAAGAAGAATAGACAGCAATTTAATTAAGATTTGAACTTCTTTTTCTTCTGTATGTCTATGGAGTCTTGTTTACTATTGAAAACATATAGGGGGAAAGGCTACGGTTTTTCTCTAATGAAGTACGTTGAGCAAGAGTTCTGTGTTACTTCTACATTGCTCGCGTTCAATACAAAAAATAAAAATAAAATCTGCGACAGCCAAAATCAGTATACAAGATAGATAGCTGACAGAATTTGCACAAAAAATGAAATGGAAGGAACTCGAGTAATTAATTAAACAATGAGAAGACAACTAAGTTTATAGTCATATGATTACAAGGATCACAACATCGAACAGTTGAAACTATGCCACTGAAGCCTAGTATTCTGACTAAATTATTTAAGAGGTACACGTCGTTAAATCATGCTTGCAAGAACACATTATTAAGATCGCAGGGGCAATGTGCATTTCTTTTGAGAATGTCCTAGCATATGGCAGCGACCACATTGAACGACTCTCTTTGGGCGTTTTAAACTCTCCATGCGAAGAACCTTCTTTTTGGGTCTTCCTGGAGGCCTACGAATTTTGGGTGGACGAATTGTGATATCAAGTTTTGCACCTCCACCATCAGTTCCTTCACCGGGCTCCTTCCAAAGGCTTTTATCAGGGATGGGATATATCATCTGTGAATAGGTCTCACAGTAACTGTGCACACTGAAACAGTGCTCCGCAAATAAATGGGCATTTTGCCCACAAGAGATGAGTGCAGCAGCAGCATGTGCACATGGGAGACCATAGAGTTGCCAACGGCGACATGAGCAGATTCGACTCCTTATATCCACAATGTTAGTCCTCTCAGTCGACACAATCTCAAATTCAACTTCATTTGCACGAAGTACTTTGTAACAGCGAGCATCAGCGATTGCCTCTGAAATTCTCTTCTCAGCAGATGGAACAAGTATTGAAGTCATTCTCATGCTCATATTTCTGCGATCATTGAACCATGACGTTAACTGATGGCGGATATGCTCCATCATTTGTACAATAGGAAGCTCATGACATTCCAATACCCAATTATACAAAAATTCCGCAATCCCCAATGTGAAATGACCATAACGAACCCCCTCAAAGTATGCCACAGCCCAAAGCTGGGGGTTGAAATGGTGAAACCATGGAAGAACATCTTGTGAAATCTGAACCATCTCGGAGATCTTACTTTCAAATTCAGCTGATGTAAGTGCATAAACAGCGTTCCAAAATATATTAACCAGCTTCGAGTTCTTAAATGTATCACGAAAATTCTCACTGATGTATCGTAGACAGAAACCATGAAATGCATTAGGGAAATGTGTCTCGACTGCTTCCACCATACCGATGGTTCTCTCAGAGATAATAGTGAGTCTAGGCATACTGTCAGTATTTACTCCAAGAAGCTTCCGCAGCTCTGACATGAACCACATCCAATTCTCATCACTCTCTACATCAACAACAGCTATGGCCAATGGAAACATTGCATCATCAGCATCAACAGCAGCAACACAAAGCAATGTTCCCAGGTACTTTCCTTTGAGATGAACCCTCTCCAGTTCCAAAAGTGGCCGACAAGCATTTATGAACCCATAAATTGCAGCACGATATGAAATAAATAGTCTCTGAAACCAATTATCTTGTCCGGTGGCAACAACTAAGGCTATGCTACCAGGATTAGTCTTCCTTATCTGTTCACAATACGCAGGAAGAAGTTTATATCCTTCCTCATAAGTCCCATGCAGTGCAGCCATACTACGCTCCTTTCCCCGCCATGCCTGCATATAAGACACAGCAACCCCGTGTTGATGCTGAATGTCTTGCAAAATCTCCTTTGGCTTATACTGTGGATTATCCCTAATGCGCGCTTCCACAGACCGCGCAACCCAACCCACAGATGCCTGGTGATGGTGGAGGTTCTGAACACCTTCACATGTGTGCTCCCCATGAAGCGTCCTAATGGTAAATGTGGAAACTCCTGGGCATTTAGCTACATGGACACGCCATGGACAACCCTCTTTGGAGCACTTGGCTATGAACCTACTCCTATCGGATTTTACTATCCGAATCTCAAAATGCATAGCTATAGCTATATCTTTTAATGTCCTCCTACAAGTGTCGACATCCGGGAACTCCTGCCCAATCGACAATGTATGGTTTGCCAATGCAATACCGGCATTCTCATCAGACACTGCTGTTACATCTTCTCCAATTAACAAAGTACGGCTTGCCAAAGTAACACTAGCATTTGCATTTGAAACCGATGTCAGTGTAATATCATCCATTATTTTTCATATACTCATACACGAGACACAACTTCAACCCCGTCGAACACAAAACCCATCATTGTTTTATTCTTCAAAAAATGATATTTTCCGCTGAAACTTTGCCAATTGCATCAAAAAATGAAACTTTCCAAATGAGCACCCACCTAAGCGACCCCCCGGCCCCCCAAATTACCTCAAATCGCAAAGTACCCAGACAGAATTATATCCAAATGAATCCAGAATTTGCAAGTGGGTATCTACAAATCAAAAAAACCAAATTGATGAAATGGGAAAAACACATATAACTACGATACTTGAAATTTACATCACTATTTACGCCTACCTGAATTCATTTGCAGTTAAACACACAAAACCATAAGCAGAATAAATAAATTTAACTCAGTGACTGAATTTCAGCACTGCGGCGTTTATTCAGGTCGGGGATCAAAATGGGATCAAACATTCGCGTACCTTATGTGAAACTGATATGATCTGAATTCTCAATGGATCTTAAAATACAAGTTGAAATTATACAGATTGATATATATAGTATTTGGATGGAGAGAAGATGGAGTAGACGTAATTTTTGGAACTTTTGAGGGTCATTGAGATTAGAATTTCTTCGTAGGTTTCGATTTTTAGCCCTAATTGAATCGGATTTCAAGTGTGAAGGATATTGCGATGATGTAAAACGACTATTATGACCTTCGTATTCATCATATTAGCCAAGGGGGAGGCGGGTGGCATATAGGAGTGTAAATGTAAGAGGAGAAAAGGATAAAAATGTAAATTGATTACTATAACATGACAAGAACTTTTACCATTTCAAATTTTAGGTCCGTTTGATTCTCATTTTTATCAAAATATTTTTTTTTTCTCTTTTTCATTTTAATCATATATTTTTCATTAAAATAATATTACACGTAAATAAAAAAAATATTCATTTATTTTTATCAACACATTCCTTATCCATCTACTATTTTAAAATTCATTTTTACATAAAAATGGGTGTCCTCTTAATTCAAATTTTTGAAGCATAAGAATATATAATTTTCTTTTTTAAGTTTTGTCAATAAAAAATAATTAATTCTAAAGATGATATTTGAGCTTCATGAGGACAAACAGGGTAAACATAGGTAATTGAAAATGAGATTTGTTCATATGTTGCTAGGCACATTCAAGGTTCGTAGGGCTTTTCATGATACTGAGATATCAAAAGTAAATTTTGTCGATGAGAAATTTAATTTGAAGAAAAATCGATTCTAATTCACACCACGTTAAAATTTTTCTAGAGATAGACAAAGACAAAAAGAACAAGAGAATGATCTATGCTTTTTTGAGTCCAGGTGCTCCCGTGGTGCATAGGGTTTTTCGCGATGCTGAGATATTGCCATGAAGAGGTAATCGAAAAAGTAAATAGTATGTCTTTGTTGATAACTAGTTAACTACTACAAGCTATAAATGATCGTGTTTTTATTCATGAAAAAAGTTTTCTAGTAAACAATGTAGGTGTGGAAATATGCAAATGGGCTTGAAAATATTATTAAAAAAATATTGGGGGGGGGGGGGGGGCATAA